ATGACTTGTTTCCTACTGTGGACAGGTTGTTGGATGTGCGTTAAAGCCCTGCGTGCTTGAGGGGGTTCTTCAAATCGATAGTGCCCTTGACCTCGTGACCCCATTTCGGATTTGGCTCGTTGACCTTCCCTGCCCCCTTTCCCTCTCGTTCCCCCCCCATCGCCCCTCCCCCCTTGTCTCTGCAATCTGCTCCCGGCCCCGAGGTTGCGCTCCGCGGATGGCGATGTGTTCCGGGATGCCATGAACGCTTTCGTTCGCAGTTTCGTCTTCACGAACATGAGCAGCGAGCGCATGCTGGCGCAGATGAGGAGAGCATGCAGGGAGGGGGAGGTCGAGCGAGTCTGCTCCAGCAGCTTCCTGGCCCAGGCCCTCTCTGAGCACAAGAGGCTTGATCGCCGGGACCCCTGCGTCAAGACGAGGGCGCAGCTTCTGGAGGACGGAGTTCCGATCCGTGCTGCAGGGCGCCAGAAGGCGTGGGCGCGACCCGCCAGTGGGTTCGTGCACTTCATGGCCACAGAGCAGACGAAGCGCAAGAGGGAGTCTGGGCATCTTGAAGGTGATTCGTATGCGGCCTGGAAGGCTGCGAAGTTACAGGAGTGGCACTCGCTATCAGACGCTCGCAAGCAGGAGGAGGCGGATAAGGCAGCGCATTCTCACGCCGTGGCTCAGGCTCAGGCCGCTGAGCAGGGCGAGGATGCTGCGCCCCATTGCGGAGCTGACGACGTGCGATCTACTCGAGATTACGGGATCTACCCGACCTTCTTGACGAGCGTCGGGGACGTCCGGCAGCCTTACAAGGCCCCCCTCCCTCTGTGCCATCTGGGCGCCCCCGCTAACTCGAGTTCGCCGACTTCGCTCCCCCTGGGCCTGTTCGCCGATCGTGCGGGGCCCAGGGCATGCGTCGTCGGCGGCCTGCTAGTTATTCCCTTTGCCAATCACCGCTCGCAGGTTGAGAAGTTCATCCAGCGGGTCTGCCAGACGCTGGGGATCGGGGAGGACGCGAAGAACCTCCCGGGCTTCACCAAGTACGGGCCGATGCACAGGCAGCTGCAGGCAGACGCCCTCTTCACGGCAGATGCAGGTCACTGGGCGCCCCCATGCTGCCTCGAATGCCGCGCCATTATCTTGTCGACCCCTAAGCTTGGAGGAGGAGTAGGGAAATCAGTCGGAGAGGGGGGAGGAGGAGGGCGATGGGGGAGAGAAGGAGGAGGAAGGGGGGATGGAGAGGAGAGGGAGAGGAAGGGATACGCATAGAGAGAGGGATATAAACATATAGTGACAGAGAGAAACAGAGAGAGAGAGAGAGAGAGAGAGAGAGAGAGAGAGAGAAACAAACAAAAGAGACGAGCTTCCGAGCAACTCACTCTGGCAATGGTGGCGGTGCTGGCGGGGGGGGGGATGGGCATCGGTCCGAGGCCCGCTTTTCCCCCCCGCCTAGCCCGCGGGGCGGGAGGGGTACTTGCAATCAATGCTTGTTACCTACCTCGGCTCTGCCTAGAAGGGTTCTTACTCTCTGGGCTCAAAGGGGTCGGGCAGTGGGGCTCGCCCCGGGCGCGCCCCCCGGCATCCGCCCTGCGGTTCCCCCAGCTACGTCCCCTTAGCTTAGCGTTGCTCATCTCATCTTAGCTTAGCTTATTTCATTTTAGATTAGCTTAGCTTCATCCTAGCCCAGGTTTATCTTAGCTTAACTTACCTGCATCTTAGCTTCGCTGAGCTTTAGCATAGCCGAGCATAGCATAGCATAGCACAGCGTAGCATACCATAGCGCAGCATAGCATATGGTAGCATCGCCCAGCGTAGCATAGCATAGCGCAGCATAGCGCAGCATAGCGCAGCATAGCGCAGCATAGCATAGCAACGAATGCTGCTTTCCTAGGGGCTCAACTTCTAAGTAGGGTCGCACTGGGGTAATTTTGTCGAGTCAGGTGACATCACCGCTGACATGGAGTTCGTGTATGAGCTCCCGTGCCCCCAGGCGCACCCTGGACTCTGCGCTACTAGGGACAAGTGGTGCTACAGGGTCGTACTGGATACAGCGAAGCACCTTTGCGATTATCTTGCTGGGCACAGGAGGGGCTCCTTCCATTTCGTCCGTGTGTTGGGGGCAGGCGACTGGCAGGTTGGCGCGTGGTTCGCCAAATGTCACTCTCATGGTAGCCCCGAGGTCGCGCTGCTGGCCACGGGCGCGCTTGCCCAGGATCAGGTCTCCTCCGTCGTGTCGTTGGACGGTAGAGACAAGGCGCTCAACTACTTGATGGCGTCATCTTTCATCGCTCAGTTGTTCCGCTTGGCAGGCGAAGCCCGCATGCCTCATGCGATCGGCGTGTCGGCTGTAACCCCTGATGGCGGCACGTTGCAGTTCAAGACAGCTCTTCGCATTGGCCTCTCGGACACGTGGTCAGTTGAACATGCCGAGGTCACCATCTTGCCGAGGCCCGTGCCGCCGAGGCGGCCCCCTCGGAGTAAGTTGGCGAAGGAGATGCTGGCGGGGGTGATCAAG